TTAGGAATTTCATGCATTGGGTTAAAACCCCATAGAATCAACATAGGAATTTTCATAATTTAGAGAGAGATTGGGCATGGGTGTGAACGGATTCACCCATTCATAGCCCTACGTACCTGATTATAGCTGATTCTTACACTTCTCTGATTGCCCAAGGAAGAATTGAAGGGAACTTGAAGGAGAATAAGCTTGATCACCTCTCTAACTCTCTAACTTTGCATGCATGAGTAAGAATGACCTAAAATAAACTTACCCCTCTTAAAACTCATCATTCATAACTCAAAATGATGTAGTTTAGGCCTTAGGATCATAGAAATTGTGAAAACGCCCTTACTAAATTCGCAGGAAATAACTTACTACTAGTCCCCATGAGGGATTGGACGACTCATCACTCAAGGCCACGACTCGTGGCATCACTTGTCAAGTACACTGCCTGAGGGTTCATTTGGGGCTCATCACGGGGGACCTCAAGATTCATTACCGGCGGCCATGAGTCGTGGTCACCACCCATCACATGCATTGCCTGAGATTTCAATTGGTTCTATCATGCAACTCACAACCCCTCCCACGAATCATGGTGACTGACCATGACTCATGGGGACCTTCCGTAGGGTACACTGCAATTTTTCTTCACCTTCTCAAAAACATTGCCCACGATTGACTCAACGCGTCGTGGGGTCTGACCACGACTCGTGGTCACGTCCGTGGGGACCTTAAATCCTAAAGTTCCAACTCATACCCTGAGCCACACCACGAGTCACCTCATGACTCGTAGTCTACCCCACGGGTCACAGAATGACTCGTTCTATGACCTGATGCCAGATTTTTAGTTTTTCTCCGTTTCACTCCTAGGTATGATATTTGGGCTTTCGGGGTATAACACCTTTGTGTCGAAACGATGTGTCATTTATAGAGGTTTTATGTTCTTGATTGTGAAGCTTGCATATGTGTTTGATGAAATTATGTTGCTTATGACAAACCATTCTATGAATTATCCATGCTAGTTTGTTTAGTATGAGTTGATAGAGGTGTCAAGTATAATGGTGAGACATGCATTTAGGTATGTTTTAAGGATTGTTCGAGGACGAACAATGGTTTAAGTGTGGGGTGGTGATGTTGGGCATATTTCTATGCCCATTTGCCACGTTTTTACCCATATTTGATCATTTTTTGAGTTCATAATCCTTAATTTATGCTTAAATTCATATATGTGTGTGTTTTATGTGCATACAAATGATTTGAGTTGATTTGAGTATGAAACTAAGCAAAATAGGCTAAAAATGATGCAAGGAATGAAGATTTGAGCAGCTTAAGGGTCTGGTACTATGGCTGGCGCCCCGCACCAAGTCCCAAACTTCAGAGAACAAAAACTTTAGGTTAGGGCTAGTTCCAACCCTTAAACTTTGGAGAATTGTGTTTCATAAACTTTGGCGAGATGAGTGGCTCCCTGCGCCAGAGGTGACCAGACATAGAGAAATTTGACGAACACCTCGACAAGATAGAGGGGGCGACATGCTAGGCCTTGTCCGTAGCTAAAATTATTGGAAATTTGACTTAGTATGTGGCTAGATACATGGGGTGGCGCACTAGGGTCATTTCGGGGCAGAAAATGCTTATTTTAATGCCAAGTTTTGAAGGGTAGAAGCATCATTTGAAGGCTCATCTATAAAGACAGGACTTAGGTCGTCAGAAAATTCTTGGAGCAGTCTTGAATCATTTTACATTCCATAGTTCGTTTATGAAATCTTGTAAGCCTTTTGGAAGAAAGACATAGTTCTACAACTAGGTTTTCTCTTCTTTACTTCGTATTTTCGTATGATGATGACTACATATTTGTTTTTCCACTTGTCTATGAGTGGCTAAACTTATATTCTAGGGTTGTGGCTATGGTGAACGATTGATTGTTTGAAAGTCTAATTAAATTTGGTTTTGATTCTTCAATTATGGTTGTTTGTATTTATTTGTGTTAATTTATTGTTTATGAGATCGATCACCTTGTAAGTAATCTGTTGGCTTTCGATTGAACTTGGCAAAGGGAATCAAAAGGGTTAAAAATAAATACAGAACGGGAATTCAAAGACCCTTGAACCCATTGGTAATAGGATAGAAGTTGTTGTTGAGGATAGGGATATACCCTTCAACCCCGTTTAGTTGAAATACAAGCAGGCATAATCGTCGTTTCATTATTCTCCTGCGACCATAGGGATATAGGCATTAGGGTTCATGAAATAGTGCTTGAATGCTAGGGATAGTTGCAATAAATGAGATAGTAACTTGCAACTAACAACCATAGGAAGAATCATGCCTGCTTAATTACGTCTTGAAAACTCAACTTGAAACTAACCAAATTCCATTGCCCTAGTCTTTCACCATCATTGAAATACAATCAAGCTTACAATTGTTTTTATAGTTAATTTTATATTTGAAGTCTTAATAGTTTAATTTTCCAAACCAATCTTCATTTTTAAAGTTTTGTAGATTAGTGAAACTAAAGTGACAACCTTATAACGATTAAATTTACAGCCTCTTGGGTACGATATTTGGACTTCAAAATCCTATATTACTTGACGACCACGTGCGCTTGAATGCGCTTGTGCGACATCAACTCTGAGCTATTTTCAACCCTTCTTTAATAAGCTAAACCTTTTCCATGGACTCATGAAATAAATCTGGTCCGATCAATGTAGCCTTACCTACCTCAAACCATCCAATAAGTGACCTACACCTCCACCAGTAAAGAGCCTCAAATAGAGCCCTCTGAATTCTTGAGTGGTTACTATTGTTATAGGCATACTCGATGAGAGAAAATGATCATCCCAACCACCCTTTAAATCAATCACACATGCTCTCAACATATCCTCAAGAGTCTAAATGGTCCTTTCGGCCTAACCATCTGTCTACGAGTGGAAAGTTGTGCTAGGCTTCACCTGAGTACCAAGGCCTCTTTGAAATGACCTACAAAACTAAGAGGTGAAATAAGTACCCCTATCTGTGATGATGGACAAAGTAACTCCATGCAACAAAACTAACTCCTAAAGGTACAATATAGCATAATCCTCAGCTAAATTGGTTGTTTTGACCAGTAAGAAATGGGCTAATTTGGTCAACCTATCCATAATCAACCATATGGAGCCATACTATCGATGTGTACGAGGCAAGCCTGTAATGAAGTTTATATTGATCGCTTCCCACTTTTAATTAGGAATCCTAATGTCGCGAAGCATACCTCCAGGTCTCTAATGCTCAACCTTTACCTGTTGGCAATTCGAACACCTAGCCACAAACTCCTCTATGTCCTTCTTCATGCCATTCGACCAATAGACTTTCCATAAATCACGATACATCTTGGTGGCACCTAAATGGATTGAGTACCGAGAGCCATGAGCCTAGCTCAACATCCGCTCTCTCAAGTTATCCGTAGGCGGCACACATAATTGGCCCTGATACGGAGTACACCATCTCCCCCTTGGGAGCAAACCTCTACTTTCTGATTTCGGACAACTTCCTTCAGCTTCACTAGGATAGGATCATCATCTTGCCTAGCTTTGACTTCCCTCACCAATAAAGATTCCGACCCATTCTGGACAATAACACCACCATCTATAGAACCTGTAAGGTGAACCCCTAAACAAGCAAGCCTATGGACATCCTTCACCAACTCCTTCCTCCCATTTTCAACATGAGACACACTCTCCATGGACAACCTACTAAGAGCACCCACCACTACATTGGCCTTTCCTGGATGATAAAGGATACTCATGTCATAGTCCTTAAGAAACTCTAGCCATCTCCTTTGCCGCAAATTCAGGTCCTTTTGAGTGAACATGTCCTGAAGGCTCTTGTGATCCCTGAACATATCCACATGCACACCATACAAATAATGCCTCAAAATCTTCAAAGCAAACACCACAATCGCCAACTCTAGGTCATGCGTCAGATAATTCTTCTCATGAATCTTAAGCTGTCTAGAGGCGTACGCAATGACCTTACCATGCTGCATCAATACAAAACCAAGACCAACCCTAGAAGCATCACAATACACAAAAAACCATCTGTTCCCTCTGACATGGTTAACACTGGGGCTGAAGTGAGTCGAGTCTTTAACTCCTGAAAACTCTTCTCATAAGCATTTGACCACTGAAGTTTGACCTTCTTCTAGGTCCACTTAGTCAATAGTACTAAAATGGATAAGAATCCCTCTACGAACCTCCTTTAGTAGCCAGCTAAACCCAAAAAGCTTCTAATATCTATAGGACTAACAGGTCTAGGAAAATTCTTCACTACCTCTATCTTCAGAGAGTGCACTTGCACACCCTTACTAGACACCACATGAAACAAGAATGCTATTGAGTTCAACCAAAACTCACACTTGTTGAAGCAAACAACTGACGCTCCTTGATAGTCTGCAACACAATCCTCAAATGAGCAACATGATCCTTTTCTCTCCGAGAGTATATGAGGATATTGTCTATGAAAACAATTACGACAATATCCAAATGCTTCTTGAACACCCTATTTATCAAATCCATAAAAGTTGCAGGAGCATTCATTAGTCTAAAAGAGATAACTATGAACTCATAGTGACCACACTGAGTCCTAGGTCGAATTAAGACAGATATCGATCTAACTAAAGGTATTAAGCATAACAGACTTTTTGTTCTCAGAGATAATTGCATTTTTATTGAGTTATTGATATAAGGAAAGGAAATTAAGTAAGGTAAACAAAAAATCCTTCTCTTTATTTGAACCCACCCAATAAAAAATCCTCCTTTGGGAAAAGGAGAATCGAAAAAAATCATATTTTCATACAATATCTTAATTGAATTATCTATAATGATCAATAAATTAAGTGGAATCTATATCTACACATACCAAAAACACAGAAAAATCCTAGNCTAGTACCAATCTAATCTATGCGATAGATATTTGGACTAGAGTTGACAAACAAACAAAACCAGCAATATACTTTATTAGTAATTAGTATCGCATAGAAATATAAATGGAGCGTGGCCAAGTGGTAAGGCAATGGGTTTTGGTCCTGCTAATTGAAGGTACAAATCCTTCCGTCCCATACCATATATATTCTATAAGAATACAAATTGCTTTTTTAACAATGTTCTGTTTAAAATCGAAATGTTAGCTGGAATGTGATGTTTTTTCTGATTTTTTTCCTTCGTTGAATCATTTGTTTTTTAAAAACTGAATCGAGATGCGAAAGAATACATATTCCTTATCTCGTATTCTCTATCAACTAAATTAGCCTAATTAGATTCAATTTTCTTTTTTGTGGATTTCTTGACTTTTCGCCAAGAGGAGATATTTGGTACTAATTAAATTCACTAAGTCTCTTAATTCTTAATCAATGAGTTAGGATAAAATATCAAAAAAAAAGAGCAAAAAATTGACTTAATATGTACTTGTTTGGCTTTGTGCCTAGACAACTCGCATTTCGTAAAATTAAAAAAGACTAGGACACCCTCTTATTTTCTTTCGATTTATGCTGCATCAGTCCCATAGAATGGAGAAGATAGGAGTTAATAAGTAATGGGAAGGCATTGATTTCAATATTTATAAACGGTGACAACTGCTCGATCTATTTGATCAAATTGATAGATACGAAACCCTCCTCATTCTTTGGATTTATTTGGATTTTATAAATCAGATGAAAAAAAAGAATAAGAATGAAAAACCTTACCTTACATTAATATTTTTTTACACATCTCATAAAAAATGTTAATCGTTGATGATTCAATTAAAAAAAACTTATCTTTTTTCCTAAGATGATCAAAAGTTTTTTTAACTATCAAATTTTCTTCTAATAATGATGTCGAAAAGGGAACTTTTGAAATTTATTCGAAATTTTGGAAGAGAAATCGTTTTAGTCATTCCTTAGAAGCTAAATCTTTGCTATTTGAAGAAGTATGAAATAGGTTAATCTCTCTCTCCTATTAAGTCACGTGAAGATGCAAAATCAAAAAG